TGGGTACAGGTGGAATTGGCCGTGAGTTTGCAGAACCTGCACCTCTGCTTTAGTGCCTGCAAGAGAGCAACCTCTCACCCCAGGTGAGACTCTGGGTAATCAGTTACGATTTTAAAGTAAAGTTCCTAGAACTAACCTCCCATGTTCTGGACTCTGGTGTAGGGGGAGTCATCCAAGACTCCACAGGTGATGTGGACTGCCCACCCTCAGACCCTCTGGGGCTTGGAAGCCCAGCATCTCTTCCACAGGCCTGCAGCATGCTGGCTCAGGTGCTCTGTTCAGTGCTGACTCACACAGCCTGGGGTAGGCTCTCCAGCAGGGTCCATCTGTCCCCAGGCAGAGAGGAGTGGGGGAAGGGGAAAGGCTCCTGTGGACAGTCTGTCCAGGCCTCAGTCCTCCAAACCACAGGTAGGAGCTTGGCACAGACCAAGTGGGCCGGGGAAGGCTGAAGGCTTAGCTACGGCAGGTCTCAGCTGGAGGCAGCGGAGACCTTGGGGTGGCAGCAACCTTGACATGACCTCAAAACCTGAGCAGCCAGGACAGCGACTCAGCCACCCACCCTTCCTCAGCCCTCCTGGACTGCCCATCATGCCAGGATCTCACTCACCAAAGGACAGCGTGCAGGTGCATCTGGCAGGCAGCTGTTCCCACCTTGGTCAGACCCAGGGGTCTCAACCCAGGAAGACCCCCCCACTCCCAGTGACCACAGCCAATGGGCAGCCACCATACATGCTACAGAACTGTATTGTGTAATACTGGATTCTGACAGCTGTTCTGATCAGTGTGGTTTACAGATAGGGAAACTGAGGCCCTGAGATACTGCACCGTCCAGGTGTGGGCAGGATCTATGTGCAGACTCCTCACCAGAAGCCTGGCTAGGCTCCTTGCTCTAAGGCTACAGGGAGGGGATGAGGACATGGGAGAGGCAGAGAAGAGGCAGGAAGGATTGGCCACACAAGACCTCAAGAAGTCTCCAAAGGGTGTCAGAGGCCTCTGGCTGCAGTGGAGCCAGCTGCAGGGGGCCTTGCCAACTAGGAGATCTAGTTCCCAGCTCTCCAGGTCAGGATCTGAGAACTCACCACCCCCTATGCTGTCCCTATATCTCAGGGTGGACAGCTTTTCCCAACTGGCCCAACTGCTCCCTGAGAACATGAGTGGAGGCACAGTGGGATGTGCAGGACCTAGGGTGAGAGAGGATATTAGGGAGGAGAGGTCAGGGTCCTGGGGTGGGGGTGGGGCACTAGCCAAGAAGATACTTCTGCCACAGAGAAGCAGGTGTAGGAAAGGAAGGGAGCTTCCAGGGTCTGGCAAGCTGCCAGAGATGGCAGTTCCAGGGGAAGGTGCCTGAAGGACCATGAGAGCCACTGGCCCACCCAGGTGGGTGGGCACTGGGTCCTCTGTCCTTCTCAGGCATGGTCTGGCTCCTTATTGCTCCTGAACCCTGGCAGGTCCTAAGGTCTCAGAGGGGACAGATAGGGATAGGAGGCAGCTGGCAGGATGCAGGAGGCTGCAGAGTCTGGAACAGCAGGGTGCGCTTGGTGGCTCCTGCATGCAGTTACTGCTCCTACTGGAATCTAGCCAGGTCTTGATGGAGAAGTGGCCACCAGGGTGGGTGTGTCTTTGACAGAGGCTGGCCAGGCAGACACTAGGGCTGGCACGTGTGCCCTCAGCTCCCCCTCCAGGTGGCACAAGAGACCACAACTAGCCTGACTGTGGGCACTCCCAGCTCTTAGCTCCTCCCCATCTGAGCCCCCCAGGAACAGCATCCCCTTTCATCGTCCTGTGGGTGGTCCAGGCAGGCAGCTGGAGTGGGGTGGAGAGAGGGGCCAGGCTCACCGACAATAGGGCCAGCTGTGCTGCACCCACACCCCTGCTCTGACCCACCCAAGCCAGACTGGCTGGACAGCGGCTCACCTTTGCCCCAGGCTAGTTCCGCCACTCACCCTACCCCACCCGAGTCCCAGTGGGTCCATTTCCATCAAGATCCCTCGCCTTGGATGAGCCAAGGGGCCAAGAAACCTGGGGGCTGAACAAACAGGCTCTGCCTCAGGCCAGATGTTCCAGGGCGGCTCCTCCAACTCTGGGGTGCCTCCCTGCACCCCCAGCTGTTCCAGGGACACAGGAAACCCAGGCCTCAGTTCTAGCAGATGCCCTGCAGATGGTGAGGTATAGTGGGGGTTTTTCCAGCTGATTGGGAGGCTTGGCCTAGAGTGGGGGGTTGCTTGGAGCCACCCCTGACCCCACCTGGCATCCCATTTGACAGCCCCAATCCTGCTCTAGACTCTAGAAGCCAGCCAGGGCAGGGAGCGGGTAGCAAGTGGGCTGTGTTGGGAGCCAGCCTCCCTGCCCATCCTGGGGCAATGGAAGGAAGCAGGACAAGAGAGAGGCCAGGCCTTGGAACGGGCCGCCCAGGCAGCCCACCATGCTAGTGGCCCCACTCTTTGGCCGTGTCGTGTGCCCCCTGCCTGCCTTGCCCCCCACCCTCCTGAACACACACGGCTGAGAAACAGGCCCCGGCACGCGGGAGCCAGCTGGCACCCCGTCAAACTAGCAGCCAGGCATACTGCCAGGGCAGCCAGCCAGCCTGCCACTCGCTCCGGCCCCGCCCACGCTGGCCTCAGCAGCTCACAGCCGGCCGCACCATGTGGCTGCAGACGTAGTGGGCAGGGGACCGCCGAAGGGAGGGCATCCTAGGGCGGGGCAACTAAACTGAAGGCAGAGAAGGGTGGGCAGCGAGAGGGCAAACTGAGGCATGGGCTGGGAAGGTTTATATGGTCACGATACCCAGACAGACACGGCCTGTGACACCCTCAGGTGGAAACAGGCAGGTTAGGGGTATGCTTCCTCAGGACTGCTGCCTCCACCCCTGAATGCGCCCTCTGCCCCATGTGCTGGAGCCCAGGTGGGCAGCCCAGAGGTGCATCTTGAGTCCCCCCATACCCTACACCCACTTGTGCTCACCCTCCCCCACCTGACTGTGAACACATTAACGGCAGAAACTATCGTGCACCCTGCACAGGGGCTGTCCAGCGGCAGGCAGAGGGGCTGCTGCTGCCTTTGAGGCTAGTCTCAGAAGTAAGAACCTTCTAGGTGTGGCACAGCCAGGCCTCGGTGGGTGTTAGCCCCCTCTTCCTGCCTTGGGTGCGGGACTGGGCTAGAGCTGGTGGAATGCAAGTCCCGGACTAGGGCCTGGGTCCCACCCAGCACACTGCCTGGACGCTGGCTTCCTCCAGCCAGATGGACATCCCTGGGGCTAAGGAAGGAAGATGGAACTCATTGAGGCTGGGCCCCATGTGGGAGCTGAGGGCTGGGGGTGCCTAGGGTGGGCGGTAAGCACCCCCGCCAAGGCAGCCGTTGGCACAAGGGGAAGTGAGCAGCTGGAGGCCGTTGTGGGAGCTGTTTGCAGGCTGCTGCTTACCCACTGTGTTGAGTGGCCCCCAGGAGCAGGACAGGGCTCCAGGGCAGGTGGTGCTACCACAAACCGCCCTCCTTGCTGGTGATGTCCCTGAGGGTAGGATGGAAAGGAAGGAGGGAAATGCTTCTGAATGCTGAGCTTAGGAGTGGGCTGCTCTAATTCTGGCCCTCATGTGACACTGTCAATTGCAAGGAGGAGAAACCAAGTCAGCCACCCGGGTGTACCTATGCACCTGTGGCAGTCCAGGGCAGGGTCACCTTACATTGACTGAGGTGGCCTCCCGCTCCCTGCTGCCCCTGTTTGGCCCCTCCCCTTCCTCCCACAGACATCCTGGGGTCCAGGTGCTAAATCCAGCCAGGAAATGTCCAGCAGACCTGAAATACTGGGTGGGAAGTGGGGGTGCGCGGTTCTCATACGGCATAGGGGAAGCCTCCCACTATGGCTGGGCTCTGACAGCCTGGTCTCCCTGTGGGAGGCTGCCGAGATGGCAGGGGTGGGAAGGAGGGCACAGGTGAGTCTGGGCCAAGAACCCTACTCTGCCCACTTGTCTCAGGACCCGGTGAGAGAGCGCTGCTCCATGTCACCTATCCAACATGTGCAGTCCAAGCGGCGCGCGAAGCCCAGATTACTTTAACAACTGTCCCTCACTTGTCACCTGTCCTGTTTGGAAAACAGCCCCTTCTTGTTGCACAAAGAAGGGTTTTCCTGCTTCCAGCAGTGCCGGGCGCTAATCTCTCTGCCTGGAACCGGGCAGGCAGAGCGCGGTGTGTGGGTCTGCCGTGCTCTGTAAACACGACGCCCGAGCACTGCAGTCATTGAGTTACGGCACTGCCGGGTGCCAGGAGGGAGAGCACTGTGTGCCCGCTGCCAACTGCAATTACCTCCTGCATGCCTGGGGGGGAGGGGGACTTAACCCTTCCCATACTGTGGGGGACATCACAGCCCGGTGAACACCAGCAACCATGGGGGAGGGAGGGCAGGGATGTTGAGGCCCAGGGCTGCGGTCCAAGATCACAGAACCAGGGTGCTGGGCAAACCTCAGAGAGCTAGCAGGGCACACCCTGCCCTGGGAAAGGCCCAGGAGAGCCTGGGTTCCTAGCAGGACCTCTGGGGGCTTCTTGCCTGCTGTGACACCTGACAGCAACAGGTATTCAGGAGGCACCAAGTGTGTGCTCAGAGCTGGGAAGTTGTCTTTGTCCTGGGCAGGGCCCCGGGGGGGGGGGGGGACAGCCTATGCCTGCTGACAGCTCTCTCCTCCCAGCCCCTCCTGCCCAGCTGGCACATCTGGAACCCACGCCTCCTCGAGTCTGAGTCTGGCGAGGTGGGGTGCAGCCCATGGCAGAGGGCGCAGCCCAATCTGACTGGCCCAGCTGTGTTCCACATTTCCTTAGTTCCCTGGAGCCCTCCCTGCCCAGCCCCCTTTCTCCCTCTCTGCCCATCTGGAGCGCACATCTGGCCACGACCAGTGCCTAGCTGGGCTGCCCCATTTCCAACCAATTACCACCTCCCCCAGGGGCTTCCTCGGCTAGGAGGCAGCCCCCACCAGAGCAGGTTTGGCAGGGCCTGCTAGCCAGGCTCACCCCAGTCAGTCTGAGGTCACTGGGGTGCTGCTGGGAGTCCAAGGCCCTGGCTTACCTTCGTGGGAGTGGGAGAACCAGATCTGGGAGGTGGCAGGGTGGGAGCCACGGTAGGCCTGCTCAGAGGGGGAGGAGGTTGGGCCGCTGGGGTGCGAGGAAGCTGCTGAGCCCAGGCTGCTGGTGAGGAAGCTGCCCATGAAAGAGGAGGCCGGCGAGTTCCCCATCAAGCGGCTGCTGACTGTGGACACAGGGGCAAGAGGAGGTCTGAGCAGCTGCTCCGTGGTGCGGATCCAGCAGGACAGGGGCAGCACCCACCCAGAGAAACCCTCCTCCAGGGTACCTCTCAGGTCTCTAGGCGCCCGTGGGCCTTTTATCTCCAAAAATCCAAGAAGCCAGTGACAGGAAAAGCCACACTTGATAATCTCACTCAGGGTGAATGCCTCAGCTGTCCTAAGACTGATAGCCTCCTCTGACTGTGAGACCAAGAATGACAATTTTGCTTGCTGCTATCTATCACCACTACCATCCACCACCACATCACCACCACTGTCACATCCTCACCACCATCACCATCACCACCACCAACACACACATCACACTGCCACCATTAACCAGATGTTAGGTATGGTGCCAAATACACATTTGCCCTGTGGTAGACAAATTGCCCTGTTTGCCTTCTTAGGGGCAGAACACCCGATGCTCCCAGGCCATGGCACTTGGTACCCAGGCCTCTCGGATGTTGGTGGACTTGACAGAATGCTTTGCCCATGGCTCCATGAAAGGATCCACTGCAACCAGGAGGGCCTCAGCCAGAGTCTGTGAGCCAGTGCTGCAGGGCCCAGAGGTCTCTGCCCCCTCCTCTTGGGTGGCATGGGAGGGGTGGGCTTTTCTCCAAAGCGGGGTCCTTATCCTTCTCCCCAGATTCAATTGACTAGTCAGACTGAGGTGCCCCATCACAGGTGAGCAAGGGGGAAAAGAGTCAGAGGGAGGAAGATGGAAATTGGAGGAGAGAGGAGAGAGAACTATACAGACTAGTTCTGACAGTCTGTTCCGGGTCACTCAGAGTCAAGCCCTGACGGGGTTGGCATTAAGTTGCCGCTCAATTTATCTGAGGCTCAGGTAGCAGTGGCTGGAGGCTTCCTGGCCCAGCCAGCACACTGGGTATTTTCCCCGGTGGCCTGAGAGCACAGGAGATGGGGAGCCATGGCTGGCCCCATGCCAGCCTGCACAAGCCTGCCCACTTGGCTGGCCACGCCCACCAGCCTGCTGCATCCTCCACCGGCCATGCCCCCTCTTTGCTTGAGTCCAGCAGCCAAGGCCAAGCCCAGTAAGCCTCCTGGTTGCCATAGCTACCAACTCTTGTACATGCATGACATACAGGCACACTGAGCGCTCTGTACACAGGGCCACACAATAGGTGGTCTGAGCTGCACTGCTGCCCTCCACCCCAGCAGGGTGCCCTGGCACCTCACCACCTCTGTCTCTGGGCAGGCCAGCCCAAGGTGAGTCAGGGAAGCTTGCTTCCTGCCTAGGAGGCAGGGGAATTGGCGAATTTGTGATGCCTCATCCAGGCTGGCTTGGCCCTGGGAGCTTCCCAGGCCCCGGGTGACTCAGCAGAGAGGCGGCCAGGCCAGGGGAGGGGGGCTGCCCCTTGGGACCCTGGCAGCCACGCTGTGCTCCGCCAGCTGCCAGCTCTCAGCCCAGGCTAGTGCCAGAAGGCTGCTCCTTGCCCTCCTGGCAAGAGGGGATGGGGCGCGCAGAACCAAGAGGGGCCTCCACTAGAGGAAGGGTCTGTGAGTGCTGGGGGCAGGGGGGGGTGGGTGGTGTGTGGGGCCTCTCCCCGGGCAGAGAATGAGCAGGCTTCAGGTGCCCTGGAGCCAGGGACTTCCCGGCCCACGGCTGGGATTGCCAGGGGCTCCGGCCAGACCACAGGCGTGTCCAGCCAGGGGAGGAGACTCCGGGCTGGGAAGGGAAGAGCCTTCCGGCTCCAGGGACCCTGGGGGGTGGGGGTGGGGAGGACCATGCCTGTGGGATGAGTAGCTCCAAGCCTTCTGTCCCGCCCATGCCCGCCCCAAGTCCCCCAGGCCTTCCCACCCCCGCTCCCTCCCAGGGAAGCCCCGCCTACACTTTCCTCCCTGGGATGGTGGGAAGCAACCAAGTCCAAAAGTTGGGTCTGGAGAAAAATTTCTCCAGGATCTCAGCCTGGGAACCCCGCACCTTGAGCTCTCCCACACCGCAGCAGGCGGGGTAGTGTGACCCAAAGCTCAGTGTCCCACAGAGCTGGTGGATACAGGGAAACTGAGGCATGGTAACACCAGAACCCTTGCTGGCTAAATTCCTGCAGCCCCCCAAGGACCACCCAGGTTGGGCTGGGAAGCTAAAGAGCAGGCTAGGGGCCCAGGCAGGTATCTGAGTCCAGGGTGTGGGTCTCAGGCCATCATGTCCCCATCCAGGAGACTGGTCCTGGCTCTGAGAGGGGTTCTGGCTGATGCACTATTCTCACACCTCCCCAGAAGGAGCTCCTCTGCTCTTCTCAGAGGCCTTGGGGGCAGCACGGCAGCCTGGCCAGCCCCCCACCCTGGCTATGTGAGAACAGGGAACACCTCAGACCAGCTGTACTTCCTGGTACAGCCAGGGACTGAGCTCAGCCCCTCCAGACCGGGGCTGTCCTTACCCCACACTGACCTGTCTCCTGACCTGGGGCCCTCCTTGATAGCTGATTTCGCTGAGCTTGTTAGGCAGGGGCCCCTGCCCCAGAGTCTGGGTGATATGGGACATGGGACAGGGGTCGCACTTCCTCCCCCTCCCACCTTCTGACCACCTACCTCCTTGACAGCTAGCCGGGTTGTCCACCTGGGGGTTTCCATTCCTGTCTCCCCTTTTATGCCGAAAGCAAAAAGGCTGAGTGCTGTGTCCTTGTCACACAAATGTCACACCTATTTTTACTAAAATAAGTTCAACCAATAAAGCACCAGAAGGAAAGCAGGAATCACCCAAGACCCGCCTTCCCTGAAATCAATGTCTTGAGCACTTTGAAGACCCCTTTCTGGGCACAGGTACATTACACACCCTTCTCCAACATCATAGGGGATTGACTGCACCCCAATTTCAGGCACAGTTCTCCATGAGGCCCCCTAGAAACCAAGCCTACAGGGGCAGCTGCTGCCAAGGCTTTACTCCTTGGCCAGCAGGCCAGCAGCTCAGGATGACATGGGCAAGCGCACCTTGCCTTGCTTTGTACCACTCCACACCAGCACGGGCTATGCACGCCGCAGTGGGGCTCTGTGACCCTGACTCTGAAGGGGTGAGATCCTCCTCACCACCTTGGGCCAGGAGGGAAATCTGGAAGCAGATCCTGGAGGCCCTCTCAGGCGGGCACTCTTGTGGTGGTCAGTGACCCCGGGGGATGCTGAGGTAGCTGTTAGCTCTTTGAGGCTCACCCCAGTCCTCCAGACTCCTGAATACTCTGGAAAGTCCCAGGATAGATCGTCTGCACTGTTATTGTCATCTCTATCTCTGAAGACTTGGGTGATGGCACTGTGCCTGGGCAGCAGAGCCGCAGGCAGACCTGGCTGCCACCTCCCTGCCCCCACCTGCCGGCCAGTAGCCAACACCAGACAGAACCAGAGCAGTGGTTGCTTGGGAGCCCACTGTAGCCTGGGCCCCAGCCAGGCCAGAGTCACGGGCCAAGATCGACCGGGAACTGGGATGAAGGCTCTTTCCTCTTAGCAAAGTCCTGGCTTACCAAGTGCTGTAGTCACCAACCCAGGAGAGGACAATGGGGAGCCCTGTACAGTGAAGAAGGCAGGAAGGGCTCTTCACCTGGGCCCCCCTCCATCAGGCATCTACCTGTCCTGCCAGGGGCTTTACTGACCACATGACTCACTGCCACCAGGGTCTCGGTCCTGCATCTGCCACAGGACTGATAAAGGAATATGGCATGCTCAACTGGGAGCCATCAGTCCCAGGACCCCCAGGTCTGAATGCCAGGTGGAATAGCCTCGTTCACATCAAGGCTGCCCTTGACCCCCAATGTGTGGGCTCAAGGCTGCCTGACCTCACAGAGGAGCCTACACAGCTACTGCCTTGGGCTCTCTTCTTCACATGTCACAGATACATAGCACACTGAGGATTTTCCCGGGAAAGGGTCTGAAACCCATTACACGTGGATGGGCCTCAGAGGCTGCGCGTCAGCCCCTGTCAGTTGCTCCCACAGCCTGGCTTACAGCTCTAGACACAAGGCAGGCTCTGGTCCCAGCTCCAGGGCCACCTCGGCTCTGCCCAGGACACCACGGAGGCCTGGCCTGGGCGCCGGGCTGGCTGAGAAAACCACTCCGGAAGCCAGTGTGCTGGGAGGGCCGACTGACATGCCTCAGGCAACAGTGCCTCAGGCACAGTCCCCATCCCTGGGAGACCAGGCTGTGCCTGCACCCCAAGGAAGCCCACCTAGACGGGGGAAAGGCCACACCTGGATCCTGGCTGCACAGGTAGCTGGCAACAGGAGAATAGCTGAGCCCAGCACAGAATTCCACCTGGGATCCAGGGCTGTGGAATTGGAGGCCTGTAGCACCTGACAATCTCTTTGACCACTGAGTCTGACCTTTTTGCCTCGAGGCAACTGTGTGGAGCATCTGGCCTGCAGGGGGTGTCAGAAAACTGCACTGGCTGAGGCAGAAGTGTCCCTATGTGGCCAGGTGAGACTGGGAGGAGAGCCACCTGCTTGCCAGGGCCACCTGCAGTGGCCAAGGTGGCCTATGGACGTGCAGCAGCCTGAGGGGTACTGGGAGTGCTCTGGCCTAGGAGCCCATGTGTAACCAGCACAGAACAGCTCCCCACAGGTCTGACTGGTTGCCCAGAGCGACTGACAAGGGTCCCCCAAGGACTCAGGTGGGCCTGGGTGACTGGACAGCCAGGTGCAGGCCATTCCTGCCCACCCAGCTCTCCTGCCCGGCTGTCTCAGCTTAGTGCTGTGACACCAGCCTGAGGCAGTGGGATGGGTGGGAGTAGAGCTGCAGGGAGTAAGCATTTGTTTTGAGTCGAGTGAACCACTGAGACAGTGCCCTTCTTTTCTGGAAACTGTGAAATGTGTTGTTAAAAAAAAAAAAAAGTGCTCGCTGAGATGGCGGCTCCTGAGAAGCAAGTCCCTTCCCAGGCTCTCGGCACTCCTGTTGCTTCCGGAAGCCCAGCTGATGGGCTGCTGGCACGGGCCTTCCTGGCTCTGTGTCTGGCGGCTGCACC